ACGAACATTGTGGTGCATAGGTTCTTTGATATTGATGTTTTAGGATTCTTAGGATATAATCCTAGCAGCGGAATTGTTGGGTCAAAAGACAGGTCAGTTTTTATTTTTCTGAGAAAATTCCATACTGTTTTCCATAATGGTTGTACCAGTCTACAATCCCACCAACAGTGAACTGAAGACCCCTTTTCCCCACAACCTCTCCAACATTTGTTGTTTGTTGCTTTGTTTATGATAGCCATCCTGACTGGTGTAAAGTGGTATCTCATTGTGGTTTTAATTTGCATCTCTCTGATAGCTAACGATATTGAGCATCTCTTCATGTGTCTCTGGATGTTCTGTATGTCCTCCTTGGAGAAGTGTCTGTTTAAGTCCCTTTCCCATTTTTTAATTGGGTTGGGTGTCTTCTTAGAGTGAAGTTGTGTAAGTTCTTTGTATATTTTGGAGATTAAACCTTTGTCTGAGGTATCATTGGCAAATATGTTTTCCATACAGTTGGTTGTCTTGCTAATTTAATACTGTTTTCTTTGGCCATGCAGAAGCTTTTTATTTTGATGAGATCCCATTTGTTTATTCTTTCCTTTACATTCCTTGCTCTAGGGGACATATCAGTAAAAAAGTTGCTGTGTGAAATATCTGATATTTTTTTGCCAATGTTCTCCTCTAGGACTTTAATGGTGTCATGGCTTATATTTAAGTCTTTTATCCATCTTGAATTTATTTTGGTATATGGTGTAAGATGGTGCTTGAGTTTCTTTTTTTTTTGCACGTAGCTGTCCACTTCTCCTAACACCGTTTGTTGAAGAGGCTATCTTTACTCCATTTTATGTTACTGCCCCCTTTGTCAAATATTAATTGACTGTAGAGAGTTGGGTTGATTTCTGGGCTCTCTATTCTGTTCCATTGGTCTATGTGCCTGTTTTTATGCCAGTACCAGGCTGTTTTGATTACAGTGGCCTTGTAATACAGTTTGATATCAGGTATTGTGATCCCTCCTACTTTGTTCTTCTTTCTCAAAAGTGCAGCTGCTATTTGGGGTCGTTTATGGTTACATATAAATTTTTGAAGTGTCTGTTCTATGTCTGTGAAATATGCCATTGGTACTTTAATAGGTATTACATTGAATGTGTATATTGCTTTGGGTAGTATGGACATTTTGATGATGTTAATTCTTCCAATCCATGAACAAGGTATATGTTTCCATTTGTTTGTGTCTTCCTTGATTTCTTTCTTTAGGGCTGTGTAGTTTTCTGCATACAGGTTTTTTTACCTCCCTGGTTAGGTTTATTCCCAGATATTTTATTTTTCTTTTTGCTATATCGAATGGGATATTTTCCTTGATTTCTGCTTCTGCTGATTCATTGTTGGTATACAAAAATGCCTTTGATTTCTGGATATTGACTTTGTAACCAGCTGTTTTGCCAAATTCATTAATTAGTTCGAGCAGTTTTTGAATAGAGTGTATAGGATTTTCCATGTACACTATCATGTCATCTGCAAACAGTGACAGTTTTGCTTCCTCCTTTCCTATTTGGATGCCTTTTATTTCCTTTTCTTGCCTGATTGCTGTGGCTAAAACTTCCAATACTATATTGAATAGAAGTGGTGAAAGTGGACATCTTTGTCTTGTTCCTGATCTTAGTGGAAAAGCTTTTAGTTTTTTCCCATTGAGTATGATATTGGCTGTAGGTCTCTTATATATGGCCTTTATTATTTTGAGAAATGCTCCCTGTATTCCTACTTTGCTGAGTGTTTTTATCATAAATGGGTGTTGTACCTTATCAAAAGCTTTTTCCGCATCTATTGATATGATCATGTGGTTTTTGTCTTTGCTTTTGTTTATGAGATGTATTACATTTACTGATTTGCGAATATTGAACCATCCTTGCATACCTGGGATGAATCCCACTTGGTCTTGGTGTATGACCTTTTAGATATATTGTTGGATGCGATTTGCAAATATTTTGTTGAGGATTTTAGCATCTATGTTCATCAGTGATACTGGCCTGAAGTTTTCTTTCTTTGTTGTGTCTCTATCTGGTTTTGGAATTAAGATGATGCTGGCTTCATAAAAAGAATTTGGGAGTTTTCCATCCTTCTGGATTTTGGGGAATAGTCTGTGGAGAATAGGGGTTAGCTCTTCCTTAAATGCTTTGTAGAGTTCTCCTGTGAAACCGTCTGGTCCAGGGCTCTTGTGTGATGGGAGTTTTTTGATTACTGCTTCGGTTTCTTTTGCTGTTATTGGTGTATTTAGATTTTCTGCTTCCTTTTCACTGACTTTTGGAAGATTGTATTTTTCTAGAAATGTGTCCATTTCCCCTAGGTTTTCAAATTTCTTGGCATACAGTTCTTCATAGTAATTTCTAACAATCCCTTTTATTTCTGGGGTATCAGTTGTAATCTCTCCTCTTTCATTTCTGATTTGTTTATTTGTGTCCTCTCTCTTCTTTTCTTGATGAGCCTTCTTAAAGGCTTGTCTATTTTGTTTATCTTCTTAAAGAACCAACTCCTGGATTCATTGATCCTTAAAATTGTGCTTTTAGTTTCTGTGTCATTTACTTCTGTTCTAATCTTGGTTATTTCCTTCCTTCTGCTTGCTCTGGGCTGTCTTGTTGTTGTTCCTCGAGTTCTTGCAGGTGTAGGGTTAGGTTGTTTGTTTGAAATGTTTCTATCTTCTTTAGGTAGGCCTGTATTGCTATAAACTTCCCTCTCAGGACTGCCTTTGCTGTGTCCCATAAGTTTTGGGTTGTTTTGAGATCGTTTTCATTTGTTTCCAGAAACTTTTTGATTTCTTCCCTAATTTCATTCTTGACCCATTCGTTGTTTAATAGCATAGCATTCAGTCTCCATGTTTTTGGGTGCTTTGGGTTTTTTTCTTTGGGGTTGGTTTCCAATTTCAGTCCCTTGTGGTCAGAGAAGATGCTTGGTATGATTTCAATTTTCTTGAATTTTTGAGGCTCGTTTTGTGTCCTATTATGTGGTCTATCTTTGAAAATGTTCCATGTACATTTGATGTTGGAGAGGGTGTGGGGAAAAGGGGACCTTAGTTCACTGTTGGTGGGATTGCAGACTGCTACAACCATTATGGAAAACAGTATGGAATTTTCTCAGAAAAATAAAAATTGACCTGTCTTTTGACCCAGCAATTCCACTGCTAGGATTATACCCCAAGAATCCTAAAACATCAATTTCAAAGAACCTATGCACCACAATGTTCATAGCAGCACAATTTACAATAGCCAAGAGTTGGAAGCAACCTAGGTGCCCAGCAGTAAACGAATGGATCAAAAAATTGTGGTACATATACACCATGGAATTCTATGCAGCAGAGAGAAAGAAGGAGCTACTACCCTTTCTGCAACAACATGGATGGAACTGGAAAGCATTATGCTGAGTGAAATAGGCCAGGCATTGAAGGACAAATACCATATGATCTCACCTTTGGCAGGAAGCTAAAGAATAAAACAAACAAGCAAACAGAATAAAAACAAAGACGCTGAAATAGAGAACAAGTGGGCAGTGACCAGAGGGGAGAGGGAAGGGAACTTAAGGGGAAAAAGGGGGAGGGATTTTGAGGAACAAGTATGAAAGACACAGAGATGAGGACTGGAGGGGGGGGGAATGGGAGGGAGGGGGGAGACCGGGTGGGGGGGTGGGGTGGGGTGGGATGGGAGAAATAGATAAAAAAAAATGTACTTGAAAAGTAACTAAATAAAATTTAATATTAAAAAAAAAAAGAAAATGTTCCATGTACATTTGAAAAGAATGTGTATTTAGCTTCTTTGGGGTGAAGAGCTCTGTATATATCAGTTAGGTCCATTTCATCAAGGGTGTTGTTTAATGCTGCAATATCTTTGTTGATATTTTGTTTGGAAGATCTGTCCATTTTTGATAGTGGGGTGTTAAAATCCCATACTATAATTGTGTTGCTGTCAATATCTTTCTTGAAGTCCTCTAAGATTTTCTTGATATATTTGGGTGCCCCTATGTTTGGTGCATGTATGTTTACAATGTTAATGTCTTCTTGGTGGATTCTTCCCTTGAGTATAATGAAGTGGCCTTCTGGGTCTCTCTTTATGGCCCTTTTTTTGAAGTCTATTTTGTCCGATATGAGAATTGCTACCCCAGTTTTTTTTTCTTGTCCCTTTGCTTGGAAAACTTGTTTCCAGCCTTTCACTTTTAGTCTGTGATGGTCTTTTGTCCTGAGGTGGGTCTCTTGTAGGCAGCATATGTGTGGGTCATGCTTTCTTATCCACTGAGCTATTCTGTGTCTTTTGATTGGAGCATTTAATCCATTTACGTTTGAGGTTATTATTGATAGGTACTTATTCATTGCCATTTTTGTACCTGTGTTCCTCTCTGTCTCCCTCTTTTCCTTCCTTCCCTTAAAGCAGTCCTTTTAGTATTTCTTGTAGAGCTGGTTTGGTGGAGGCATATTCTTTTAGGCTTCTTTTGTCTTGGAAGCTCTTTCTATCTTTTTTTTTTCAAATATGCCTCAAATTTTATTAAGATGCCTTATGTGCAACATTTGTTTGCTACTACATTGAAATAGCACACAGAAACACTTGTTACAATAAAAGAAGAGAAATCTACTTAATACACCCTGCACCAATCATGCTCTAGCCAAACCACCCTTTTAATTTTTTTAACATTCCTTCTGCACAAGTTACTTGCTTCTAATTCTTGGTGTTGGGTTTCATCTCACCAACTTCAGGCTTCTAAAACAACAATGACACTTAAGACCTATTAGTACTTCCTTGAGTCAAATAAAAAAGGAACTGAAGTGTATATTTAAGTCATTCAAATGCAAACTACCCATATATTGATTCCCCTTAAGTTAGTGGCATCAAGGTGGACAAGAAAAGGACATCACAGAACTTCTCTTGTAGGCTAACAAAATATTGATCTAGTCTATCCTAGCCTAGAGTAACTTTCCTAAGCTGCTACATAATGACCTTAAAATTACCAGCAAAAAGCCCAAATTACAAGAATAAGGCTTGTGGCTAAACCAACCCCATGTCATAACTATTCTTCATTTCAATATAATCAGAAAGATCTCCATAATGTAGGCAGTAAAGACAGGAACATCTAAATTTTCTGGTTCTTGCTTCAATCTCAAGTTTCCTCTCCTCTGGGGTTTTTTTAAGCAGAGACAGGGTGCAGAATCTAATCACTTGTAAGGCCCTTTGCATCCTTTCTTTCCGAACACTCGCCACTGTCCTCACTCCATGCCTTTTTTCAAGGAGCAGGCCTTCACCCAGCCCTAGCCCAAGGCCAAGGCTCTGTAAGCTCTTTCCTTTCTCCTGCTTTTTGGGTGAACTTTCTGGTGGCAGTGGAGACAGTTTGATGTCAGGGTTGAGAGTCAAGTTACCAAGGTTCTTTGCTAGTAGTTCTGAGACAGCTTGAGCGTCAGCTGAATTTCCTTCAGCAGGCACCTGAGTAGACTCCATGTTCCAGGTTGGGTTAAACGTCGGTGAGTCCATTGGAAGTCTAGTCACAGGCTGAAGCTCCTAAAGAGTTCAGTAGCTGGTGATACTCAGAACTCTTTAACTGCTACAAAGTAGCTTGAAAAGAACTCTATAGCCTGGACAGAGCGAGAGAAAGATCAGACCCCAGCACATCGCAAAAGAGCAGCAAGCTCTTTCTATCTTGATTGAGAGCCTTGCTGGGTAAAGTAGCCTTGGTTGTAGGCCTCTGGTTCTCATTACATGGAATATTTCTTGCCATTCTCTTCTTGCTTGGAGTGTTTCCATTGAGAAATCAAGCTAACCTTATTGGGGCTCCCTTGTATGTTACTTCTTTTTTCTCCCTTGCTGCCTTTAAGATTCTCTCTTTGTCTTGGAATTTTGCCATTTTGATGATGATGTGTCTTGAAGTGGTCCTCCTTGGGTTCCTCTTGATTGGGACTCTGTGATTTCTGGATTTGTGTGACTTTTTCTCTCATCAAATTAGGGAAATTTTCTCTCATTACTCATTCATATACGTTTTCTATTCCTTGTTCTTCTTCTTCTCCTTCTGGTATTCCTATTATTCTGATATTATTGTGTTTCATATTGTCTTGCATTTCTCTTAATCCCTCTTCATTCTTTCTAAGCCTCTTTTCATTTTCTTGCTCTTTCTGTTTGGTGCTTTCTACCTTGTCCTCCAACTCACTAATCCTATCCTCTGCTTCATCTATCCTACTTTTGAAACTTTCTACTGTGTTCTTCAATTCGGAAATTGTATTCTTCATTTCCTCTTGTCCCTTGCTGATAGTTTCTATTTCCTTTTTCATGTTGATGTAGTTTGCAGAGAGATCATTGTAGTTCCCCTGTAGTTTCTGATAGCTCATTGTGAGCTCTTTGAACTTCGTAATAACCAGTGCTTTGAATTCACTATCTGATAGTTGATTAGCCTCTATTTCATCTAACATTCTTTCTGAAGTTTCTGCTTTTTCTTTCATTTGGGGATTGTTTCTTTGTCTTCCCATTGTTTGAGACTCTTCTTTGAGACTCTTCCCATTGTTTTAGTCTCAGCTTCTAAAATTGATCTGTTCTGACACCCTGGGTTTATGGTGTGAACTTCTGTGGTATGATACCTGTGAAGTTCAGTGGTGCAGACTCATTCAAGTTTCTTGATGTTCTCCGTCTCCACCTACTGTCACGCTGATCCTCACGCTGTTCCCCGAGCTGGTCGCCTGCCACTGCTGAATGTCCAGGCTCTAGTAGCCAATTCCTCCAGCGCCCAGGCCCGTTACTATGGCAGCAGCACAGGGGCCAAGAATGTCCCGGCTCCCATGGCTAACTCCTCTGGCGCCCAGGCCCGTCACAGGAGTTTGGAGTGTCTGGCTCCGGTGGCTGACTCCTTGGTGCCCAGGCTCCTCTCTATGGCAGTGGCACAGGGGTCTCCAGTGTCCCAGCTCCTGCAACTGACTCTTCTGTTGCCCAGACCCGTAGCTATGGCAGTGGCACAGGGGCCGAGAATGTCCCAGCTCCGGTACCTGATTCCTCTGTCGCCCAGGACCATCACAGGGGCTTGGAGTGTCCGGCTCCCGTACCTGACACCCCGGCTCCCAGGCCTGTTGCTATGGCGGCAGTACAGGGGCTGCGTGTGTCCCAGCTCCAGTAGCTGACTCTGCTGCTGTCTGGTGTTTCAGCGTCGGTCACAATCTCTGGTCTTTTAGTTTCATAAATGCTGGGTAACCGATGGTTTATTGTGCTGTTTCTCTATAGATCTGCCAGGATTTTAACCCATGAGTACAGGAGCTAGCATCAGCTCTGTCCTACTCCGTCGCCATCTTCCCAGCATAGTCCAATTCTCATTATATTAAAAATAGTTGTACTTTTTCCAGGCAGACATAATTTATATATAAATACACACATTTAAAAATAATTACAAAGTTTGTAACCATAGTGGCATTGCCACATAGGTCCAGGGCTGCAGCCTGATTTTCTTACTATAAAAATGAAAATATTAATCTCTGTCCTTTGTTTTTCACTGAGTTGCCTGAGTTGTCTGTACGTGCTAAAGGCTGAAAGAATATGAGTACTTGTCATAATTATTATTTTAAAACCTATTTTAACCACTATATTGGTTCGTTTGGTTTGTTTTCAGGAACAATCCTCTTCCCCAGTAACACCATTGCTTGTGACACAAAATAACGTAGTATGTAGGTTCAGGAGTCTCCAGGAAAGTGAAGGACAGGATTCCTTCTCCCTAGTTAGCAGTGACAATCCTGTGGTGACCACCTGCAGAGCCTGGGATGTCTGCACTTCCCCCAATCTGCCTGAGTTTTGGGGTACACAATGGATCTGAGATATTTATGCTCTCTCACCAACCAGATCAAAGGCTGGCTCTCTGGGGAGTCTTCATTTTTCACCTTATCTAGAGGGAGACTGAAGAACCAACTTCTGAAATTGCTTCTTGCTTCTTAGCAAGTGGCATGATAAGATTTTCCACCACCAGCATTTTTTTTAAAATTGAAGACATTTTTAAAAGCAATCACTCAGGGTTTCTTATCTCCTATGATTCTGAGTGTGGCCTCAGATCAATTTTAAAACACTTTAGCTTCTGACACCCAACCAGGAACTGAACCACTCCAAATTTTAAATAACACAGATCAGAATGAAGTTCATTGCCAAGTAGAGAAATATCCTCCCTCTTCTTTATCACATAAGCCTGTACATGGTCCATTACTGTTCCAAATGCAGATATTGAAAAAGGCAGCCTAAAGTTAGAGACAAATTGCTTTATGGTGGAGAGGCACTTCCCTTCCTAAGGAGTTGAAATGTGTTACTCATGTATCCTCATCCTTTGCCCAGGTCTTTGCTCTGAAGCTTCTCCCAACACATGCCAGAGAGGTGCACTTGCTGTGCCCCTTGTGTCTTCACGCCCTGCTTCACCACTGTTTTGGCTACACCTGGTTTCCCTAGAGAATCTATCAGCAAGTGAAGTGTGTTCCTTGGACAGAGTATTAGAGACAGGACTGTGTCCTGCAGAAAGCAGGAAATTCAGGATCTAAGCATCAGCTCCCTGCTCCTTTCCACACTGCCCAGCTGGTCACAGTTTGAATCCCTCACCTGTGGGGGGACCTGAGCCAAGGACCTGAGCTTGCAAAAGTCCAGCCAGGATCCGAAGGTGAGCCAAGAGTTGGGGCCTAGTATAGACTTGCAGCTCAAGCCGGGGGTCTGAGAGGAACCCTCAGGAACCCTCCAGCCACAGTGCTGGATTTCCATGCAATTAGCTCCATGCCATTCCAGGATCCTGATCTAGACTTCCCTGTGCAGCAGTAGGTCCTGGCATGTGAAAATGACCCCCTTTTCTCCTTTACTCACTGGACTAAATTGTAGGCCTTTATGTCCCCTTAAAATAAGGGAGAACTGATAAGCAGAATTCCTCTGGTGCCTGTGGAGTTCGGTGGCTGTCTCAGTCCCTGCAGTTGAAGGCAGGTACATTCTGAAGGAAACCAGCCAGCAGAGGACACATGCTCTGAGCATCCTAGAAAGGGAGGAGTCTTCACTGGCCACCCACTTCTTTCCAGTATCTTCTTTGACCCAGGACTCAGGAAGATGTTGGTGCCCATTTCTGCCTACCTTGAGGCTCCCCTGCCCTCAGCTGTTCAGAACATGCCTGGTGGGCTTGGCCTCTGCTGGTCCTTCAGAACTGACAGCCCTCGGTACGCAGCTGTGCCTGACCCCTGCCCCACACTAGGAGGGCCCCAGGGAGACACAGGGTCCCTCCACAGCCCAAGGTCTGAGGCACTGACCCATGTGCCTGCTCTTCCTCACAGTTGTCCTGCCACATTTCTGGGGTCATGGTGCACAGGCCATGGAGGCTGGCCTGGGCCTCTAAGCACATGCCCTTGGAAGTTCGTTCCTGTTCAAAATATAAACTGTTGGGACATGTTAATGCTGAGTCCAGGGACTTGCTTTGTGGCATCCTCCCTAGGCTGGAAATGGTTTGGCTTATGTCTTAATGCTCTCAAGAAGGCCTTATCACTAATGCTGTGCTCTGGATTCTATGGTGCTGCTGAGAAGGAACCCACAATGCCATTTAGTTGAGAACAGGTTAGTCTGAGAAATACAGTATAGCTTCTTCTGTGTTGACCTGTGCCAGCCTGCCTTGGTAAGCTGACTGCTGCCAAGGGTCACAGGCTGCATTCAGCCGAGGAAGGCATGCCTCTTCACAATCCTCTGCAAAGGCTTGTAGTTCACTTAGAAAGTGCACCCATCATGCTGGGCAGATCAAGCAAGGCAGGAGTCCCACAGTAGCCCTCCACCACCTCCACTTTGCTAATAGACAGCATCTCAGCCTAATACTATTAGATAGTATTAGTATCTTAATACTAATGTATTAAGGAGCTAGAATGCTCCAAATATAATTAAAAGTAAGTTATGCTCATCTAAGCAATGAATAAAATATTTTTCATGCTGCTTCAATGGTGTCGGGTTCATTTTTTTGCCTAGTAATTGATAAAACTAGTAATTTACCAGTATCCCAGCTATTACTGTAAATTAACTGGGTTCATTTGAAATCCAAAGGATTGATCTGTTGTGAGTGGGAGACAATTAAGTATAGCAAGCTAATGCCCATGCTCACTGAAATTAGTACACTCTGAGAGAAGCTCATTACATTTACATGGACAGCTAGTGACACTGAAGGAGAATCAGAAATCATTTTTAGAAAGCGAAAATCCATTTTGTAGGCAACATCACTGGGTGAAAAAGACTTTGGAGGCAACTTAGACATTTGTCACTTGTGACTTACACATTCTTGAGTATGTCTTCAGGCCTCATAGCACCCTGGTTTTCCTTCTCTACAATAGTAGCAAACATTGACTTATGATAATTAGTTATAGGTGCTCATGAGGTGTTATTGCTGATGTTGTCATGCCAGGGGCCCACTTTCAGGACCTGGTGGTTGGTGGTGTGAGATAAGCTTTAAGGCACATATTTTGGACCCTGACTAGTGTGGCTCAGTTGGTTGGGCATGGACACACAAAGCAAAA